CGCTTTGATCTCTTCTTCTTGTGTTCTTTCCTAGGGAAACACACCTCCCACATCATCTGCTGTCTCACAACCATCGATATGAGTGTTTGCAATTCTCTTTATCTTCCCCTAAGGTCTATTGTATTGAAAGGTCATCTCTCAAGTTCGAGCTATGAAAGTAGGAGGTTGGTGAACCATATAGATATTCAGTAATGAATACGATGTGGATCCGTTCCAAAGCCCCTAATTCAAAATATAGTGTGAGGGGGACAGAGCTTGCATTTCCAGGTACAATCCTCCATTGAGATTTAGCAGATGTAATGCCTCTCAGGAGTACTCTAACAGCCAAGTAAACTTTATGCAGGTAAATTCCCAGGACAGCCTTAGAATTAAATTCCAAATCTGATATAATTTTTTTCATGAAAATATATAGAAGTTCTCTTGAAACCACAACATCTTTCCGTAAAACAAAGTTGTGTTTCGTATTTGAAACCTATGCTCTTTTATTTCCATCTATTGTACATTTTCATTATTATCACAAACCGCAATTCCTAGATAAGTTAGTTTATACTCTCTTCATTAGTTTTCCTTGGTCAAATTCCCCATTGTGCATGATACAATGGTTTTGTAGGCTTTCGCTGAGCCACATCTCAGTTACCTCAGGACGAATGATAATCTACTTGAAGTAATAAAACCTTTTATAGTGAACAAAAACTGCTGAGCAAACTTTAGGCTGAAGAGTATTTGTAAGTGAAGATTGCCAGAGACATGCCAAATTTTTTAGACTGGTAGATGTAACTGGTGACACCAATATCAAATGCATAGGTAAATTCCTAAAACAACCATATATACAAGATAGACTCGCTCTGGCATTTAAATATTGGTTGTAGCATTGGACCCGAGTAGGATCTTCAAGAATGTGATGGCCCCTTTACCAAATGGTTGGATACGAATTTTCCAACTGGCTGTGAAGCATATAAGAGTAGGATGGGTGGATAATTGGTAACTTGAGTTCATGTTGCTTGAGTTAGCTGTCTGGACCCCACCACGAACTAGGAATAAGAAGAAAGAATATAAAAGAGAAAAGAAATCATAGTGGCTACAAGAATTATTAGTCATGACTAACAAATTATCATGAAGTAAGAACTTCCAGCAAAACTGGATATGGAACTAAGAGAACCTTACCTGTCAATTATTTGGCCACTCTCATAATCTAGTTCATGCAAAGAGATGGTCGTTTGCGTCCTTTCATAAAACTGAAAGCCAAGCTCCCTTGCAGCTATGACAAAGGCAGCTTCATCTGGTGACTCAGCCTCATATGATATTTCTCCTGTTTCTTGGTCTATGTTCGAAATGGCTGTATGGCAAAGTGCTAAAACTCTAAAGAACTTCTGTATTACATGTGCATGAGATTCATGAACCCATTTACCATTCATAACTCGCTCATCTTTGAAGTTGAAACCTTTGCATGATTTTCCTGAGTCCATGTACTCATCATTAAAGCTTTGTATATCAGGGGAAGTATATCCATCCTCAGGTAGCACATTCCCTTTTCTCTTAGCTAGAGCCCTCTCTACTTCTGTCATTCCACGTCCATAACTTATTCCCGCTATTGAACACTTAACAAACTCCATTGAGTTGCATGTCAGTGTACCAGTCTTGTCAGAGAGTATAGTACCTACCTGACCAAGTTCCTCATTCAAATTAGATGTTTGAGCATGTGCTGGCTTATCAGTTTCCTCATAATACATATCTTGGTCTTGATTAATGAATATACTCTGTAAAACCTTCACAATTTCAATGGACACGTACAATGATATCGGTAGCAAAAATCCATACAACATAAGTCCAGTCAAAAAATGAAAGAACGCAGTCAGTTCTGCTCTTTTTGGGTCATATAAGAAAGTTGATTTATCTGGTCGGAGATACCACCTCTTTAACTTCCCATCACGAATGTCATTCTTAGTCTCAATCCCCAAAAAAATAGAACCAAAAAATGATATTAAAATCATAATACTAAAAAGGATATATATTATCTTATCCATCTTTCTCTCAATCTTACTCCTCTTAGAAGGAGGATCTGTAGCATTCTGCATAACTTTTGTTTCGTGACCAGTAAAAACAACCACACCATAGACATAGCCTGTATTCCGAAGTTTAGAATCTCTTAAAAGAAACTGTTGTAGAGAAAGTGGGTGCTGCTGACCTTCATAAAACAGGGTTCCAACAAATGAATAAAGATCCTCATTTGGGTCCTCACACTTGATCAATGCCTTGAAATGCAGAAAGGAATGGTCATCATGCAGACCAGCTGTAGCGTTTAAAGCATGCTTCACCTTGAGATTAGTCTCACCATCTAGATTTGTAGTTTCAACATAACAAATCCCATCCTCATAGCTCGACGAAAGCAGAAACAGATCTGCAGGAAAATATTCATCTTTGTCTACCTTGACAAGATCGCCGACTTGTAATTTTTTCCACCTGGTTTCTTCAAAATTATGATTTCTACCATAAACTTTCACTTTCCGATTATTAGCCTCAATGTCCTGAAAAGATTTTAGTGCAATATGATTAAAATGAAATAAGCAAAGGAATTCTCCTGATCAACTTCGTCCCATACCATTTGAAAACAACAGAAAAGTATAAACCCGAATTCTAACGGAAAAAACCATGCAAAACTGAAGATTATGGCAGTGAGTGTTAAAGGACAGAATCCAGAAACTTGATATTCTGTTTATCTCTGTGAGCAAAACAATGTATTTCTATTTTCACAGGTAAATCACTTATCACAGAGTATAGGAGAAATAAGAATTTTTTGAGCTATATTTCAACAGCTAACTTGTACTATACAGAACTAATCATTCCAATATTATGTAGATATAAGTCGCAAAAGCACACTGATGATTAGTAAAACAAAAGTTTTCACTGAACTCCTACTTCATATATAGAACGACTTAGGAGCAAATAGGTATTCAAAGAATTCTTAGGCTATTAAACTACTAACCTTCTTCATTCGCCTCCAATCTTCAACCCCTTCCTTTATCATTGTTGCTGCAATCATCACCAACAATGGAGCAAGAGTACTGGAAGTTGAATAAGCTGCCAGAGGACTAAACGAGAGTAAAGCTACAAGAAGGAAATAAATATTTGCAACCCTCCGAAACTGCTCGAATAACGACTTGGGAACAAAATTGAGCACCGTGTACTTCGTCGTAGACACATAATTACTACTATACTTAAGCTGAAGCTGCTTTGGATTATTAGGATCATTGCAATACACAACCCTCGAATAACCTTTCTTCCCAATTTGGCTATGCTCATTTCTGACAATTGAACGTACTAACGAAAATGAGTAAAGTCTGCTAAAATGTATCCCACTCCTCCGATCACCAGTCATTTCTATTAAATTGCCTTTTTCCTCTGGATAAATTTAGCATGTATGGATAGGCATTAAATCTAAGTAACAGATGCTTATCAATGAACAAGATTTAGCAGAATTTAGAGCAGAATATCACGTCAGTCATCAGGTAAGCGTTTCATTCGTGAAGGAATGAAACCTCAAACACATAAAAAATTTGACCAAAACTCCAAATTTAACCATCCTGGCTCAGGCTATCAATACACATCTAAATCTTAGACATTGAACTTCATTTCAAAATGTTCACAGCAAGCTCCAGCCATCACTTCCTTCCGCCATTGGTTCGCAGCCTCACACACAGTGAGCAATCAGTATACACGTGTGCCACAGAGGGAGGGAGAGAGAGAGAGAGAGAGAGAGAGAGAGAGACTACAGCAGAACTAGAAGCAGTTGGCTAAGAAGAAACAAGCTGTGTGCGAAGCAGGAGATTATAGCCGTATCGAGTACTTCTTTTGTTTTTTTTTATGGAATGCTCTTATAGACAACTTTTTGTTCGCAAATGAGAAAAGTTGATCAAGGACTTGTATTATCTACAATTAAAAAAAAAAAAAAGGTAATTTGCAGACACTGTCCCTAATCTTTACAATTGTTTGCAGTTGTGTCCTCAACCTTCATTTCTTGGCAGCGTTGTCCTCAATTCCTTATTAATTGGCATCCACAGTCCCCCTTAACAAATTGAGCTGATTTAAAATGCTAATTTTAACCTGAAACTTAAATAACTAAGAAATAATAATAATAATAATACCCAATTAATTCTACCTCCATCCCACCATCGTACCCCGTATCCCCAACTCCAAAGTTCATCCGTTTTCACAAGCATTTTCTAATTCTTGGGCATTAATGGGAAGGAAAAATCTACTTGTACAGAATTTTTCCCGCATAAAAAATCCAGATAACTCACATGGGGTGGGTCCCATATGAGTTTTATATTGAAAAGATATACCTACCCACCTCATGAACTGTGTGTGATCTATAAGTTGTCCGGCAAAATGCTTCTTGTACATGTAGTGCAACTCTAATATGGGAAAATAGTATTGCAGATCCTGTAAGAACATTGCTGTTCTTGAAATAATTCAAGAGAATTCATTGCAATGTCATCACGTGAACTTTGACACAAAATTCAAGAAAATTCAAGACTTTTACCCTTTGTTTTAAATTAAAAAATAATATTGTAACACGTATTGGAAAGTTACGTGTCTTGCTCTTTGTCATCACTCATCATCGATAGGCAAGCGTTTTAAGCCAAAGTTCAAAAAAAATAAGTCAGTCGCTGCTCATATAATAGTGGAATAACCAGTTTCATATTATTTTAAAATGAAGGACGATGCTACATGTATAGATCGAATAAAGCATGCCACGTTATTTACAGATACAGTTGGTAGTTTTTCATTTGACAAAGGCAAGAAAAAGAAAAAAGTAACCAATCAGGTGCTGTTGTGTAAGACATCTAGCAAGATTTCCTCTGTACAAGCTACAAAATTGTAAAATCGATTGCTAATATTAGGGATTGAGATTATTTCGAAAATTTTTGAATTCAAATCACGTGGGATATGATGATAGGGAACTTGCAATTGTTGTAGACTTGTGGTGTAGGAATCTTGTGGTTGTGTGGTGATCTTGAGATGATGGGTATTATGGCCAGCTGGAGGTGGCGGGGACCGATGGCTATAGGTATAGTTGTTGGATAAATGGATGCATAATTATATTTCTTTAACTAAATATGATTTAATATAGCGATTTATTGGTGCAAATATTGGATAGAGTTTTGACTAGTCAAAATCAAAATATGTGCATGAAAATATGCACAAATTGTGACTTACCAAAATGTAAAAATTCAAAGAGATGAACTGAAGCGAGGTATGCGAATGCTAATCTATTTAAGACAAATCTTGTCCCCTACATTGATGTTACAATGATAAATGGATTTTCATCTCTCAAGATACAATATTTATTTCAAAATTAATATAGCACAATATTAATTTTACTGGGTGAATAAAATATTGACGGTACTCTTCTACATCGAATGATATCAAATATTAAAATATTGAACAAAAAATTTGAAATTAATTTTAAAAACTATTTTGACAGGATTTGAAAAAACAGAAAAGTAGAAATCTAATATGGAGGTAGAAAATCGAATTGGAGGATTGTTTATGGATTTTGATATGTCTTTTTCAATGGTCCCATCTTTTGATACAANTAATATGGAGGTAGAAAATCGAATTGGAGGATTGTTTATGGATTTTGATATGTCTTTTTCAATGGTCCCATCTTTTGATACAAATTAATTTTAACCATTAAATCATAGAATTTCATGATTGATGGTCTAGCTAGCACACTATCAAAAGGTACTGTCATTTTTTATGTACATTTTGCAATTGAAGAATCGCACCCAATCGATGCACCTATTGGAGTTTTTTTTTTTTTTTCAATTCTCATTTTTTAATCATTAACTAATTGTTAAATTCCAACAAAACCCACATGAATGAAAGAACTCGACTCTGACTAAGGAAGATGAAAAAGAGTACCATTTAAAAAAATACATCAGAATCGGTAACTTTCACCTTAAACCTTCTTTAATAAGAATCTATCGAATTTACTTAATTAATCAATGAACTCAATATTTTGACCTATAGGTCATTATTATAATCTTAGACAATAAATCAAGCACATTATGTCTTGTTGGAAATATCTAGACCCAAATATGCGGAATAAACAAAATAACAAGCAACAAGTAGTTTATATTGTCTCTAGATGTTTATTAAGGATAATCAATATTAAATCCCAAGTTTAAACAATCATAAATGTTTAGATCAAAGCAATAAAGTAAATAGCGCCATATATGACCACAGAATAAAGACCACTAGAAAGGCTGACTTACACTTGGTCCAAACACTTCTAAACTTTAGCTTACTCTAACCACCCAACTTGTAGATCGCTGAAAAACCTCTTTAATTGTGCAACTCACACTTTCCAGAACTTCGAACTACTTTTCTCTCCACTGGATCATCAAGAACAAACTCCTTCTGAAGCACTAAAACTCCAAACGTCTCTTCTCCAAACTTCAGAATCTGAAATCTTATAGGTGAATATAAGGATTTTTGGTGTTTGATCAACGGATCTGGTGCGTTTTGATCTTTAGTTAAAGCAGGAAATGTATGGATGTGAATTTCATCTTCAATGGATATTCTCTTGACCAAAATTATGGCTCAACAAATAATAAAGATGTTTAGGATAAATATATGAACTAATGATCTTAGGGTTGAATAAAAAGATCTTTGAAAATGTGTAATTGATCTTCAAATAATGATTCCTATAATGAAAATAATATTCAACCACACCTTGGGGACGAGGTATGGCATCGATATATATAATACGTAGTGTTTAAGGTAAAATAATTGTCTTCCCGTTTCTTCATCTTCTTGAATATTTTTTACTCCCTTTGGTTCCGATGCTACTTGTTTGGAAAAATATTAAGTGCCAAATGCGGAATTAAACCAATAACAAACAGCAATTCACGTATTTATTGTCGTTAGATGATTAAGATTATTAATCTAATTAAATCCTAAGTATCAATCATAAATATGCAAAATTAGAAGCACTAAAGTGAATAATACCAAGAATTGATGATGAGAACAAACTCTTGAAAAACTCTTCACAGAAATCGAAAACCTTTGGGTAAACCTTGCCAAAATGATCTACTAGAAAAGTTAACTTACAATTGGTCCAAACACTGTTAAACCTTTCGTAACTCTAACCATCCAACTTGTAAATCACCGTAGAACCTCTTCGATTATGCAACTTGCACTTTTCAGAACTCTAGACTATTTTTTCTTTCAATTGGATCACCAAAAATGAACTCGTTACAGAGTGTTGAAACTTGAAATGTATTATCTCTAAATATAAATTTCTGAAAGTTTATAGGTGAAGGTAAGGATTTTTGGTGTTTGATCAGTGCATCTTGTGTGTTTTGATCTTTAGTTAAAGAAAGAGATGTATGGATATGAATTTGAACTTCAATAGATATTCTCTTGACTAAAATTAAGGCTCAACCAATAATAAAGTTCTTACAAAGATATTTGGGGTGAATATGTGAATCAATGATCTTGGGGTTGAATAAAAAGATCTTCATGATTGTGTAATTGATCTCCAAATAATGATATCTCTCTCTCTCTCTCTCTCTCTCTCTCTCTCTCTCTCTCTCTCTATATATATATATATATATATATAGAGNGATATCTCTCTCTCTCTCTCTCTCTCTCTCTCTCTCTCTCTCTCTCTCTATATATATATATATATATATATAGAGTAGTGTTTGAGGTTGAATAGAATTAAAAAAATTTGTTCAAAATTGAATCAAGACTCCGATCGGACATACTCATCACTCGAGCGCTAGGTTTGCACTAAGCGAATTGTAAGCCAGCCGCTCAAGCACCAGCCTCCTACTCAGTAAGCATCAATGTCCCTATAGTAGGAGCTCTAGTACGCCATGAATGTTCAACAAGTGGTCGTCTCCTCCTTTTTTGATCTTCTTGAATATCTTCGACTCCTTTTATAGACTTTGGCATGAAATACTCTAAGGTTTTCGAGTCGATTTATATGTTAGATCCTATGGGATAGATCGTTAGGTCAAATATGTTAAATCCTACGGGATTGATGGTTAGGTCAAATATGTTATATTCTACGGAATGGACCGTTAGGTCATATGTGTAAATCCTACAGAATGTAGGAATTTTTTAGAAATTTCTTGAGCTATTGGATATCAATATCAGTTGTTCTAATCTAAGAAATATCAGTATGTTATGTCATTCTATATTAATATCGTATTAATAAGAATATGCACGTATTCTTACTGAGTGTTTTCAAAATATCCACTCTTACAATTACTTTTCAGATTAGAATGGATCGTATGAACGCGTGGAAGATTGATCAAGTGATGCTTATGGGGTCGCTAAGTAAAATCTTAGAAATGTTTCGAATTTTATTTAAAAAATAAATTTTATGTTAAATTTTGTGCACGTTATTTTAGTAGCTTTTGACGTTCGAGCCTTGATATCTCATGTTCAATTGAATTTGACAAATTTAAATCTTAATATTTAAGATTTAATTAGTACACAATTTTTAATTTAAATTGTTGAATTTCAAAATTTATCAATTGAATCCCAATATTTACATAATGGAGTTAAATTCCGTATAAATTAAAGAAGGATTTTGGTAATACTTCAAATCCTCATTTAAAATATATATGAAACGGTGTTACATATGAAATGGTGTTCGTTAGATGAAGATATATGTGCACTACAATGAAAAAGTCTTTTGCAACGTTCAAAAAAATTACCGAACACCTTTTGCAACGTTCGAATATATGTTACAAACCACTATGTTGCCGTAGAGTGGAAGGATACGGCAACGTTTGGATGTATGTTAAGTCCTACATGGCTTCATCTCCTGAAAAGAAGTATCCAATCTTAGGCATTAA